AGAAGATTCAAGAAGCATCAAGAGTGATATTATTGACATTAATTAAGACTCTGTTTGTTTTAATTAGTTTCCTATTTTACAGTTTCCTATTTTCAAATAGCAGACTTATTCTTGAAGTTTAAGTTATTTCCTTTTATTTCTATGTAATAAAATGATGCCTCTCATAGTCAAATAATCATTAATGAGGCATCATCCCTAGCTTTTATATCTTAAGATGGTGATTTTAAAGTGTTCTATGGTTGCCTATATACAAGTTGCGTTTTTGTACTTAAAATTAAGATTTAGATGAATGAGAATTGAGTTTATTTCTCTCTGTGTGAGCTTTGCTTGCATCCTTGTATTCTCGTGAGAATACTTGACAATATCAAGGGATTAGTCAACTTTGTGGTGTCTTCATGGCTAGGGTTGTGAGAGACAGGTTCTCCTAAGGTCCTACCTAGATCAACCGTCCGTTCGTTACTTGATTCTAGCCGGTTCGTATGTCCCCCCATGTCAAGATTTCTATGAAATCTCATTCATCCTATGTTAAATTATGTTTCACATAGGGAATGTCTTGTCCATGGATCAAGGCAAAGAAATGGTGTTAAGATAGTGGAGTTTTATGATTTTCATAACATTATGATATGTTGTATAATGTATAATGAACTTTATATTAAGTTTGTAATGGATTATGGATAATATTGCACAATGTATATATATTTGTATAACGAGCAAGGATGCTAGAATTATGAGTGATGGAGGGAAAGGAAAATAAAAATCTAAGAAAAAAATGATTAGCGGATAAAATTGCCTAACTTAGGGGCAAACTTGTGCCGCATAAAATAATGAGCACATGGATGAATTTGGATATGAAACTTATTATAGAACTCACTTTTAGCTTTAAAACAATTGGTAAACCATCAAATTTGAAGTTTTATGCTAAGAGTTATATGCCCTTCCAAATTTAGGCTAAAATACTGAAAACTTGAAAATTGGCCATATAAACAGTGTATTTTGTCAAATTTTCTTTGGATGGAATTGAGGCTAATGAGTTTTTTTTTTATATTTTAAGAACTCTTAGCAAGCTTCACATGAAAATTGGAATCACCTTATTTTTTATTTTTATAGATTTAGTTATGAATTTTCAAAGTTAACGTAAATTTGGATAAATAGTGTACAGACAAACCTGAATGCAAAGTTTTGAAATTGAGATTTTTCACTCGTAAATGTTAGAAAATACGTTATGATGGTTTCAAATGATGTATAATATAGTAATAAAGGAGATGTGACACTTTTATTCAATTGTTACATCCCAAGAAATTTCACTTGAACATAAGGGATTAAAAATTGGGATGAGGGCCAATGTAGAAACTAGACGGGGAGATGAAACAACTTTTGATATGAAACCTTAATAAAGTCTAGGTTGGAATTTTTGTAATTATCAATCTAGGAAGGTAAGACAGGAATTTTTCACAATTTTTTGCCACCTCTAGGTATTTATTTTGAATTTTCTCTGATTAGGCCTCAATCAGTATCACTGCAGAAAAATAAATTCTCTAAAATTAACTTTAAGCTTTCAAGGCCTGAAACCAATTTTATAAATTCAAACAAATATTTAGATGATTTGTCCATATTTTTCTCAGAATTATTGAGGCTTTTAACTAATTAAAATAATTATTTTCCTCTGATTTCCCAATATTTTCTCGAAAAAGCTCTGTTTACAAAAAATTCTTTAATAATTTATTTTCATAAAATTCTACCTTTCAGGCCTTAACCGAGATTCTAAAACCTCTAATTTGCATTTTTCCCATTTTTCTTGAATTTTCTCAAAATTTTCTGTTTTGTCCTTTCTAGACTAATAATTACAAAAATGTCAGCCTGGATTTTATCAAGGTTTCACATCAAAAGTTATTTCATCTCCCCATCTAGTTTCTACATTAGCCCTCATCCCAATTTTTAATTCCTTATATTCGAGTAAACTTTCTCGGGATGTGATAGACATCACTTCTCCATTTGATGAGGGAGCCAAGTCAGTTAGAAAGATCTGATCTGATTTAAAAGGAAGATTTTCTAGTTTCCATAAGACACTTCCACATTTCCAGATTTTGTTTTCACTCTACCCCTCAATTTTCTCTCAACATTTTCGTCTATTTCCTCTCATTCTTCATCTATTTTCATGGTCCTCTCATTGATTCATATGGAGCTAGTGGCTAATTAGAGGATGATTGGTTGAATCTTCAAGTTCCCCTAGCAGTAAATCTAACCTAAGTTTATGGAGAACAAGGAGTCTTTTCATATCTGATTTTCACTTTCAATTCTAAGATTCATTTATATCAGTTGAACATTTGTGATTAGATTGAGAGCTGTTTGATTTAGTTTTTCAGTTTTGGAATCTTGGATCTGATTGAACACTTGAAAGTGGCTTTGTTTCCTTTAGTTCAGTTGAATGAAGGATTTTCTGTTTGATTGTACATCTAATTTGAATTTCTTAGACTATTGTTCTGTAATTCTCAATTTGATTGACTGATTCTGACTATTCACAGTTGTAGTCATCCTTAGAAAATTCAGATTTGCTTCTCAAAGTGTTCTTGTCAATTAATTTTCCCTTTCTACAGAGCAAAGCAATTAATCTAGTGAGATAGTTGTTCTTGATCTGTGGTTAGAGAGATCTAAGCAATGGCTGAATCTATCCTTTTTAATTTACTTCAAAAGACTCCAAATCACAATTTGCATTTTGAATCCTCACTGTCATTTCTGATTTTGTTTGATTTCATCTTTGGTTTCGAATTCCAGTTCTGGTTCCACTTTTATATACAAGAAAACAACCTGTTTAGTATAAAGTGAATTGTTAGGAACCTAGATTTAACCTAAAGCTCTTTAGAGAAGAATGACCCAGGTTCGTATCACTGTATGCATTTTTTCCTAGTTTAATTTTTTTATTACCTATCAATAAGGTTTATCGACCACTAATCCACTAAGTGTGAGTGGGAGATATTGGAATAAAACTTAATCCACCAATGGCAGATTAGGCCCAAGTCCAAGAAGCTTAGGGTCTAATTTACTGAAAGATTAGGATAGATATTACTAGAATACCCAATCTTCATTTTGAACTTTGGTAGGAACAGTTATAGGGAGTGGGAGTATGTGCATGATGAGAAAAAAATGTTGTCTAACTACTCTTTTTTCTTCCTGATAAAAATTTCTCCCCAAAGCTCTTCCTCTCTATATATTTGTTCTAAACCATAAGTCTGTATTTATATTTGTAAACAGACTTCGTATAGGCAAAAGCATACCGAATATCACATTCATGTACGTCCAAAAACCCAACAATAACATATACCTACTTTCCGTACTGAAGAAACAATTTATTAGCATCACTTTAATCATTATTCGGCACTATATATATACATATATCATTATCAAAGACAAATATGGGAGGAGATCATCACACTGCGCATACTATATCGTCATATATTATTTATATTCACTATATCTGGACATTAACGCAAACATATATAAGTATATTTAATTTTTTATATGTTAAATTCAATAATTAATTTCTTAAGACAATCCATTGTAAAAATAAAATTTATATAATTTATTATAATATGGACAGTTTAATTTTTAAAAAAAATATCCAATAATTAATTATTTCAAATTTAAGTCTTGCTGGGGATCAAATAATAGTTAACTTTTCTATAATAATCTTTTCATTTAGAAAAATCTAACATGAGATCATACCTAAAAAGAACCAAATGATCTTTTCATTCGACTAACTATCATATATCTGTTGTATGCTCAAGCTCCTTTCATACAAAAGGTGTGTCGTGCAGCTTTTTAATTTGAACAAGCCAGTGCAATCAATAAGCTTTCATTTCCATTTTTCTTTGGGTTCATACCGGACATTTCCAAGTTGAGATGACGCGGAAAATTAATAATAGTACTTTTTTAACTAAACACATAGGCAAATAAAATCATTAGTTCGTATATATTAATGTAAGCGTGCTCCCAATGACATCATACCCACGTTGGAAAATGGATAAAATAATAGGTAAGATGGTGTGAACTCTTTTCTTGTAAAAATATTTGGACACAAGAAATTTTCAATTAAAAAAAGTCAAAATACCTCAGTCATATCCCTTACCCACCCACAAAGGGAGTACACAAGTGGATCATATAAAACTAAAAAAAATGATGCTTTCATAAAGTAGCCATACGTTGTCATTTCATTGAAAACTCCATCATTGTAACGTTATTATGTTGACAATTGGACTTATTATGAATTTACTATATATTACTTTATATGCATATAATTATTTTTATTAAATATTTATTTATTGTGTGATCATTTTTACTGCTGGCTGTATTATAAAAATTGTGAAATCCTAATATTTCCAATTCAACGTGAATCCAGTCTGGCTTTTAAAATATTACCTAATATTTCCTGCTTCCATCTTTTTTTATAAGATTCTCCTTCATGGTTCTTGTCTTATGGCTCGCTCTATATTATCTAATGCTTATTTGTAAATGCACTCTATTTTGATATTTTAATTTCTAATTAACCAAATATATACTTCCTGAATAACTCCTTATTCTCTATATAATGAATTCCATTCATTAATAATAATTCTAGAAATTTAAAAGCATTAGTTAACACAGTAACTAAATTTCATAATCATTGTAAAATCGTTAACGTGTTTTGTAACAAGGACGAAGAATATATAATATAAAAATACCGAATAAATTATAATAGTACAACTCATTTAGGCAGTGGCGCATGTTGGCAATTCAATATAACTCATTTAGGCACATGCAAGTTGACTGGTCTCTCTTTGTGTACGTGCTTATTTTATACAAGAAGCTTCTTCTATAAACCAATTAATAAAAGAGACATTGTACGTACAGCTAGCCTCTATATTCATTCAGTCAGCAACCTCACTTGTATATATAGGGTAGCGTGGAACAACTAGACTAAACCAAATTACAAGCAAAACTAAGCCAAAACTGATTGAAGATTGCTTGTCCGAGACGGGAAACATGAAGCAATCAGAGAAGCCAAGGATCATTCTGGTGCCATATCCAGCACAGGGACATGTAACTCCCATGCAAAAGATGGCCATAGCGTTACTGAACCTTGGCTTTGAGCCGATAATGGTTCTTCCCCAGTACATCTACAATCAGATTGTGATTCATAATGAAGAGAATCATCATCACCACGATCGCTTCAAGTGGGTTGCTGTAGCTGATGGATTGGAAGAGGACACTGCTGGGGATTTCTTTGGGATTGAATCAGCCATGGAGAACACTATGCCTTCTCAGTTGAAGAGTTTGATTCAGGAGCTTCAACAAGGCGGGGGCGGCGTGGTGGTTTGTGCGGTGGTTGACTTGTTGGCTTCTTGGGCTATACAAGTTGCTGAAAAGTGTGGCATCTTTGTTGCCGGGTTTTGGCCTGTCATGTTTGCGACTTACAAATTGGTTGCATCCATACCTCACATGGTTCGCTGTGGCCTCATTTCTGAAACAGGTTTATATAGTTGTTAATTTGTGATCCTTTTTTTCTTTTTTGACCAGAAAGTTAATTTGTGATCTAACTCAGTTTACTGTTTTAAAACTTGCTAATTGTATGATAAATAAATAAAGAATTTTATTTCAATTGAATTGTTCAAATTGTATAATCATCAATTACTGACATTGGTAAATGGCCCAAAGCAATTTGATTATGATTCAATTCGTGACAATCATAAGTCAAAAGTTCATATTCTTTAGTCATTGATGCAATCACAGAAAGAATCTAACTTGAAACAATTTTGATATATTTGCCTCCAGGTCTTCCACAACATGAAGGCAAATTTTGCTTTATACCACAATTGCCTATATTAGACACTGAAGATCTTCCATGGCTAATTGGAACAGTTGCTGCAAAGAAAGCAAGGTTTAAATTTTGGACAAGAACTCTAGAGAGATCTAGAAGTCTCAAATGGCTTCTTGTGAATTCCTTCCCCGATGAAACCAAACTTGATAATTCTGCCACGACACTTTTGTCCCTAGGCCATCTTTTCAATCATACACACACCAACAATCCAAGTTTTTGGGAAGAAGATAAGAGTTGTTTGGGGTGGCTAGATACTCAAAACCCTAACTCTGTAGTGTACATCTCATTTGGGAGTTGGGTGAGTCCAATTGGTGAAGCAAAGTTGAGAAGTTTAGCGATGGCACTTGAAGCATTAGGAAGGCCTTTCCTTTGGGTTTTGAAGAAAGCTTGGCGTGAAGGGTTACCAAACGCGTTTGAAGAAAGAGTTTCAAGGCATATTGGAAGAGTGGTTTCATGGGCACCACAAATGAAGGTTCTAAGACACAAGTCTGTGGCATGTTACCTCACACATTGTGGGTGGAATTCGGCGACAGAGGCAATACAGTTTGAGAAGAAGATGTTGTGTTATCCTATGGCAGGTGATCAGTTCCTGAACTGTGCTTACATTGTTCAAGTGTGGAAGGTGGGTATCAGGCTGAATGGTCTTGGAGTGAAGGATTTGGAAGAAGGATTGAGAATGTTGATGGAGGATGTGGAAATGGAAAGTAGGCTAAGGAATCTGCATGATATAGTCATTGGAAGGGATGATGATTTGAAGGAAGATCGTAATGTGCGTGCCTTCATTCAAGATTTTTCAAAATAGAGATAGTAAGCATATACCTTTAATTTTGTTCAGGCTGTTAATATTTGGTAAATTTTCTTGTTGAATACTCCTTGTCATAGAAGACCATGCCTGGTACTCAAGCATGAGTGAATTCAAAGGGAATGGTAATTAAGAGGTAAATGAGAATGGGTTTTAAAAACACAAACTAATAGTATACTAGGAGGTGTTTAATATAAAGGTCATGAAGCCCAAAAAACACCCATCCAGTTAGAGGCCTAACAAGTCCTCCAGAGTGTTTAAGGGATTTTTAGCTCAAAAATGCTTCCATGGAGGAGGACATGGATCATTGCTTAGATGATGACATGGACACATGCAAAGCTTCATGTGACATATGAAAGGCCACCCTGAAAGCCACTATGCATATGAGTCATTGGAATATGAACATGTGGATCTTGAGAAAGACAAGAGCATATTCTAAGAGCCCAAAAAGAGTATTTGAAGTTAATTCTCATGTTATTAAAGGCCCAAAAGTTGGGGCCTAAATGCATTGTGTTATGGATCATGGGAGTTTTAGAACGTGACTCAACAATCCAAATGGATGTCTCAAAGGCTCATAAATGCTTATAAACGTGATAGTATCTATGAAGATCCATTTGGAAGATCCAAGAAGATTTAAGAAGCATAAAATATGGTCTTATATGGCATTAATTATGATTTTATTTGTTTTAGTTAGTTTCCTATTTTACAGTTTTTTATTTTGTATTGATTACTTCTTGAAAGCAAAGACTTACTTATTTTTTACTCCTTCTTTGGTTCTCCAGATCCTTTTATTTACCTATAACTTTAACATAATTTCTTATAATATCTAGTTCCTTATGATCCAAGATAAATGAAAATCAGCTAAGAGTCGTTAACAACACTTGAAAATGCATGAATTAAATGCAAAAAGACAGTGATAAGAATTGGCTCAATGATAGGCAAAAAGTGTGTGAAAACACTTCAAGAACTTTAGAAATAACTCAAGAAAGAGTGTTAAATCAACTATCCAACACTTAAACCTTTGCACTCCTGAGCAAAGCTTTCTAAATCATTCAAAAAATGAAAGCTGAGGGTTAGTTAAACCACCTTCTAAAGAAGTCGACAAAAGTGGGATGAAGAAATGCCAAGAAAGTAATTACTATGAGTGCTTAAACTAAGAGATTGAGCAAAAGAGATTTTCTCAAGAGTAAGTGTTTAGCTCATAGCTCACTTGATCAAGATTATTTCACTCTAAAAGCTGCTTAATTAATTCTCTGCCATAAACTTGTAATGATTCTACCTCTCCATAAGAGAACCATGAATTGTGAATCAAGAGGGCTTGAGGGTTGTAATGATTAGTGAAGGCCAAGTGAAATGAATGGAATGGAAAGAGAAAAAGAAAAAGGAAAGTACCATGCATCTCAATTGTTCTCTTCATGCAATCAATATCTATCTTTCTAAAGGTGATTTTAAGGTTCTTATACAATAAATTTTTGTTCACTATTTTTTTCACTTTTTCACTTCTTTTTGTATTTTTTTCTCTTCTTTTTTTTTTAAAGAAAAATACTTAAGCAGTCACCATTGTTTTTCAAGAAAGATACTTACAGCATTTTTTATAACTACGCATGTACTCAATGATGGGTGGTCCAAAATGGTTAGCAAAGGTTAAGTATTTGGGCTTGTGTATAGAGGTAAAACGAGTTTAGAAACAAATGCCTCTATCATATTCACGAAGTTCTAGAGAGACATAAAATTAAGCAGACACTCACAGGCAAGAGAATTTAGGCCCATATACCCGTCAACATGGTTATCATCTCAAGTGGTCATTCTCAAAATTCAAAAACACATAGCACTACTTTCAAGGCATAAAATCACTCACTTCAAGTTGAAAGCATTAAAGAGAGAATTAACCAAAACCAACTACCATTTAAAAACATGGATGATTTTCTAGGAACACAAGTAGGACTTCTAATTTCCAAATTTTCAAAGCAAGGTAGTGTGAAAAATTCAAGTTGAAAAGAGCTGTTGATGTAACAGTTAAATTGCAAAGCAAAAAGGAAAGAAAGAAGGCAACGATTTTTTTCTTTTTTTGGTTTTTTTTATTGCCTTCAACATTACTGTGTCGAAGTTTACCCAAGAAGAACACAATTAAACGTTGAAGGGCTTCACCATGACGAAGTTGAGAGTTGGTGATATTGTGGGACATACAGACCAACTAGAACCACATATAGGATGGGATAAGATCCTAAGAAACTGAGCGGATGATCGAGGTAGAATCTTAAGAGAACTTATCTCTTACAACTCTGGCCATAAAGACACCATTAGGTTGATCACTCTCTTGATACTGTCAAGTATTCTTATGAGAATACTAGGATGCAAGTAAGGCTCACACAAAGAGAAATAAAATTGTCACAGTATGAATCATTTAAATCATCCCCTCCTCTAAAAAGAGTATACATAAATTAGTTATAAACTAAGACTCTTAAAAACTATAGTATAAAAAACCTAAGCCCTAAAAGCCCAATATAAGTTATTAGTGCCTAAAACACCAACTAAATAAAATACATCAAAAATAGATGAGAAAATATAATAAAATTAAGAAAATCAAAAGACCTTTTAGAATACTCCAACTTGCTAGTCAAGATAGAATAATCTAGGTCACACACTATCTGGAAGGATTCCATTATTAACGAGAAGGATCTTATCTGACCCTCTACTATTTAATGCAATGTACTTTGCCTTTAAAAAGCAATCAATACAAAATAGAAAAGTTTAAATTAGGAAACTACTTAAGGCAAATAGAATCCTAATTAATGTCATATGAAATTACTCGTGATGCTTCTTGAATCTTCTTGGATCCTTCAGATAGATCTTCATAAATATTATTCACGTTCATAAGCATGTACAGGCCCTTTAGACTTCCATTTGGGCTTGAATATGGTTGAATCGTGTTCTGAAACTCTCATGGTTCATAACACAATGCATTTGGCCTCCAATTTAAAAGATTATAGCTCCAATAGACTCCTCCATGCATATATGATGTTGGGCCTTCAATAACATTAGAATTGGGTTCAAATGCTCCTTTTGGACTCTTAAAACGTGCTCTTATTTTTCTCAAGATCCAAGTGCTCATATTCCAACGATTCACATGCCGTGGTGGATTTTGGGGCCTTTCATATGTCATGTCAAGCTCTGCATATATCCATGTTATTGATAGCATACCAGGAGGCATTCAATATAAGGGTCATGAAGTCGAAATAGCACTCATTCAGTTAAAGGCCCTACAAGCCCTCTAGAGTATTTAAGGAATTTATAACTCAAAATGTTTATATAGAGGATGATATGAGGGGACGTACGGACCGGCTCGAATCAAGTAACGGACGGATGGTTGATCTAGGTAGGACCTTAAGAGAACCTGTCTCTTACAACCCTAGCCATGAAGACACCACAAGGTTGATCAATCCCTTGATACTGTCTAGTATTCTCACGAGAATATAAGGATGCAAGCAAAAGGAATAGGAAACAAAAGAAAGAAGGAAACTTGAAGAAAGAAAATAGGAAAGTAATATGAAAAGGAAAGGAAATCAAAATAGGAAACTAGATAAAATAAAGAAAAGTAGAAATAGGAAAGTAGGAGTCTTACCACCCAAGTATATAGATTTAGGAAATTAATTATGACTTGCATTGGAAGCTCTTTCAAATTAGGAAACTTGCCTTTTATGTTGCAATCTCCAAAATCTGAAACTCTTTCCCCTTTTTTTTTTTCAATTTTCGAATTTTTTTTCCAGCAATTCTGTAGCCTTTTTTTTTTTGCTTTTTTTTTTTGTTTCAACACAACAGCACTTTTTTTTCTTTTTTTTCATGATTTTTTTTTTTTGCTACTCAAAAGAACAAAGCAAGTCAAATGAACAAAGAAAACAATGGGTGGGAAGGAGATGAAAAGGAAAAAAAAACGAAAAAGAAAATAATAAAAGGGATGGAAATAAGGAAGAAAGGAGGAAGACAAAATGAGGAAAATGGAAAGGAAAGGGAAACGGAAGCAATATAGAAAGCAAAAAAAAAATGAAAACACCAAAAGGATAGAACTTGAAAGCTAGCAAATCTTAGCTCTGATACCACTTGATATGAGGGGACGTATGGACCGGCTAGAATCAAGTAACGGACGGACGGTTGATCTAGTTAGGACCTTAAGAGAACCTGTCTCTTACAACCTTAGCCATGAAGACACCACAAGGTTGATCAATCCCTTGATATTGTCGAGTATTCTCACGAGAATATAAGGATGCAAGCAAAGCTCACACTGAGAGAGATAAACTCAATTCTCATTCATCTAAATCTGAATTCAATTACAAAAAACGTAGCCTATACATAGGCAACAATAGAACACTTTAGAATCAGCATCCTAAGACATAAATGCTAGGGATGATGCCTCATTAATGATTATTTGACTATGGGAGGCGCCATTTATTACATGGAAATAAAAGGAAATAACTTAAACTTCAAGAACAAGTCTGCTATTTAAAAATAGGAAAGTAGATCAAAACATGATCTTCTAGAATACTCCTTGACCAAAAAAATGAATTTAAATCATAATCAATTCATAATGAGGCCTTCTTGATCCTTCTTGAAGATTCTTGGACGTCACTTATGACCCTTGTCCAAGGCACATGCTTGTCACATGGTATTTTAAGTGAATTCTTCAATCTGAACCCCACATGGGCCTTGTACATCATCTTGTTGGGCTTCTAGCAATGTGATCACCAGTTTTGGACTCCTTTTAGGCTCATTAAAATGTGCTTCTTCGAAATAAATGGGCTCTAGCTCTTTTAGCTCTCTTATTAGACAATTTAGGGCCTCCTTCATAGCTTTGGTCCCTGCTCTTGTCATTGGGCCTCCAATGCCTTGTAGTGGATCTTTTGGAATGTTGGACTTATTTGTTTGGGCTCCTTGCCTGTGCTCCTGATCACACCATGCTCCTCCATTAGAGGAGGACATGGATCATTGCTTCGATGATGACATGGACACATATGGAGCTTAATGTTTTGAAAAGACAGATTACCTATCTTTTCTTTTATCTCAGGCGAAATACGATCAGGGGGAGCCAATTCAAACCCTTCGGTAAAATAAGAACAGCCCCGACATTCAAAGCCCCCTTTTTACCATTAGCAAGAACTTGTTTCGTTTGCATTATGGAAGGCAACCCCGAAAGTCACTATGGCATGTGAGTATTGGAGTATGGACACTTGGACCTTGAGGAAGACAAGAGCACATCTAAGAGCCCAAAAGGAGTAGTTGAAATCAATTCATATGTTATTAAAGGCCCAACATAATTATATGTGCTTGAAGGAGTCCATTGGGACTGTAATGTTTTAGATTGGGGCCCAAATGCATTGGGTTATGGACCATAGGAGTTTCAGAATGTGATTCAATCATATTTGCCTAAATGGATGTCTAAAAGGCCCATACATGCTTATGGATGTGAATAACAATTATGAAGGTCGATTTGGAAGGTCCAAGAAGCATCAAGAGTGGTCTTATATCGCATTGATGAGGATTCTATTAGTTTTAATTGGTTTCCTGTTCTATAGTTTCCTATTTTGTATTGATTGCT